AAAAAAAAAAAACAAACAGGGGTAATCAGTTTTGCTGAGATGCATCAGTTTATTTAATGTTTTATTTTCTAAAAACTAGATGGAACACAAAGATGCCAAAAGCACACACATATACATACATAACACACATAAAAAAAGATCAGAGATGTTTCTGATAAAATAATAAAGGAAAGACTTCTAGTGTTTACATAAGGAGGCATCAAATTTTTGGCACACTTTCCAACAACAGCTTTCAGTGAACTGTTAAAGAACTGCCGTTCCATTTTCGCTGGAGCACTGATCATTGGTTCAGTAAACTGAATTGGTCCTAGCGAAGATTGTTCATCTCTATTTCAAATCCTGGAGAGGGCATGGGTATTTATAAATGTATAATATGTTTTAATTTATAAATGTAAATGGGCATGGGGGGCACTTAAAATACCATCAAGCTGAAATTACCCTAGAGAAGTTGGCAGTAAAAGAAGTGGTAGGATACCCTTAGATTCTGTCCCATGGCATGTTTTCCATCAAAACTGGGGCAAAGATGCCAAAATCAGACTGTCACCTAAGGTTGGTGATGAAGAAAAGGGCCATCTGAAAACTGATGAAACTCCCGTATCTGAGCCAAGTTATGTGATGATGACACAAGTGGTCTGAAAACTTCGTGTTGAGCCCTATGTCTGAACGGACATGAGTTTCACTTGTGGCTCACGTTACTTTTTGGTGAAACGCTACATTCGTGCAGCTATTCCACTAAAGGGACACCCCTTTCGATTGAAGGGTTATAATGGCCCGTCACTTGGTGACGTTGGCCGATTAAGGTAGCTTTATCAGTGGTTCGTCATATTAATGACACAAAAGCCGATTCTGAGAACTCCTAAGCATTAACTACATCTGTTCCGAGACGGGGATATTATGGTCTTGACCACACAATGAATAAAAAGCTTGCTTGAGCTCCATGCGTTAGGATGCGTTTTATCCGAAGGAATTACCGCTAAGAGTACTCAGGGACCCTCGTATGGCCTGCTCCTTGCTTATTTGTACAGTGTCAATAGAGTCAGTGGCAATAGCTATAAGACTCGGCCACGGATCTGTCGAGCTCCCGGCCTCACGGTCGTGATGGTAGTAGTGAATACTACCTAGAATACACCGCAAATCCCTAATAAACAAGTAATTTTGCACAATGGGGGTGTAGTTCTAGTCCTAGTTGTCACCTAAGGTGTCCAAAGCTTTGGTCAATGAAAGGCACTCTCTTCCTTTCGGTCACAACACATTCATGAACCTGATCGAGATCCTCCGAGATCTAGAAGATAAGTAACAAAAACCAAGAATAACAGAAAATCAAATGTAGACATTGTTAAATAACCTCAAAAGTGGCTACATTTCAATTTTAAAGAACAATATTAGAATATTTGTAAAGGAAATGGGGCCTCAGAATAGGTATCAAAGGCACTTATATTTCGACACTAAGATTCTTATCCATCAGGGATAAGAAAAGTTAATACAGTCAAAAAGTCTTTAATCCGGACTCGTTGGGACTTCGTCGATTCTGAATTATCTTGTAAGATGGCATGCAGAAATTATAAAATTAAAAAATATGAAACTGTAATTTATGAAAAAAAGAGCAATTATGATCTAAAGGGTTTCAAAATTTACAAAAAAAAGCTTAATATTTAGTTGTTTACTTATTAAACATTTCTTTCAACGCGCGCATGCGTAAAGCATACATTACGTATAGTCGAAATTAGAAAATTGCAACCAGAAAACTATTTGATGTGTACTCGTGATATTTATAATGACGAGGAATTTGATTTAAATCGTATCAAAGACGGAATACATCGAGATGAAATACTGCATTTAGTAAGGAATTATAAGCTGAATAAAATAAAAACATCTGCCCTGAAGATAAGGATAGTGCTGACAGATCAACTTCCAGTTCATAGTGCACCGTGAAGTCCCCCCCCCCGCAGAGCAGCGTGAAATTGATAAACAGATTTTGGAATGGTTACAGAAACAAAGGATATGCCTTTATCCATTTTTTGCAGCAATTCCACTTTTTGTTTAATGGACATCGAAACATACTTTCGTTTTGTAGATCCTTTGGCAGCTCCAGCATCGGAAATTCTATTTGACATAATCGAAAGTTCAAGCTTACTTTTATAAAATTGCTCTAACAGTCTGCAAAAAATAATAAGCCAGATCCAATTCGAAGATTAAGGTACAACGCAATCTGCAACATTAACTGAAATAGATCATTTTAGCTTATACCGTCCGTTATACATTAAACGCGCATGCGTAAACGTATTATGTGCATGCGTAAACGCCTATGCGCATGTGTGAATGCATTACGCGTTGATGCATGCGCAGAAATTTTGTAGCTTTGAGGTCCGGATTAACGACGTTTGACTGTACTTTCAATTCAAAATTTATGTTTACTGTCTTGAAAGATTATGTGTTATAATGAAACATTAAAAATGCAACGGTATAGTATTTATGTCTTATTAGGAGAACATATTTTGTATTTTGTTTGTAAATAACTGCATTCATTAAGTATTCCTTAATAATTTATTCAACACATTTCCTATTCATGGACTGTTTTACTGCTTCTGAATGATATAAATATCTGATACCTTTTAAATATTTCTAAATTCTAATATGTGGCTTTTGCAGAAAGAGATTTGCCACCTCTGGCTTAGAGTGATGTGCTACTGAATTTACTATTCAGTGTTTTGCCTTTGACCTGTGCATGATTTTGTAACTTGCAGTATTCACGTGTTAATTTCAGCATTATCTCTCAATTCTCTATGAACTATTTTTAACTCTTTCTTTATCTGTGAAAGAGTTCTTGTTTCAAAAGGAAATACAAGTGCTAATCTGTGACATTTTATTTTAACTTAGAGTTAAAACATTGATTTGCCTTTTTTGTACACATCTTTCCATCATGTACTCACTCAGTCCAGATAGATCATTCAGATCTGATTAGAGAGCAGTTTAGTATAAAGTGAGGAAAAGAATTTGTAACCGTTTGGAGCTGTAAGAGCAAAATGTTTGGTTGAGGACACAGCTGTCACACTTGTCTGCTCTTCAGAGAAGGCTCTGGGAAACCTGATTACTAGACATTATCCAGGTGGTAAATTTAATCTTCATTTAGATTTTAGTTTGTCCAATCCAGAGTGTTGCAGCCTTAATAGGAAATACTTGGATTATATCGAAGATAATTTTATGTTCCAGCATTTTTCTCAAGACTGATAATTTGCTTTGCACTGTTTTAATTTGCTCTCACAAAACAAGTGAATTAGAATTACGTTCAGTTCAATTTTATTTATTTGTTTATTTGCGTTTCCACAGATACGTCAAGCTACAGGAAAAAATCCCATAACAGTTTTAAGATAACAATGAGGTGGAAATTTGGTTTCATGAAATTAATTGGTAGTTATAAGTTTTCCTCCTCATATAGTCTGGTTGTACAGTTCCCCACTACTCTAAACATTAACTTTTAGAGCCGTAAATAATGATAGACGACTTATTATCCCAACTTACTTCTAAAATACAGTGAATACAGCTCAGAATGAAGGTTTAACTTTTTTGACCCGACATTTGCATGACTAAAATTTAACTATGAAAAGCAGTTTAATTGAAAGTTAACATACTAAAAGAAGTGTAATATGAGTTTAAAATTGTTTACTTTTTCTGTTTCCTGGAAATCTCCTGAGACAATATATTCCAATTGTATTGTCAACTGGGACTATTTACACCAATCGTCTAGGATATTGTGATAATAACCTTACACTGCATCTGAATAAATAATAAAGTTAAATGAAATGTACTGAATATTTTATTCTTACAGTACAAATTAAGTACGCTATGGTGTAAAGTACAACCTAACCTTTACAAAGTACAACCTGACAAATTTGGAAAATAGGCCACATTTTTTTAATCATATATTTGTTCCCTAATTCCTTAAAAACACTGCAAGCTTAAAAATCCATTTAAAAGTGGGTTTTATTTACCCAATAGGGAGTGAAATCTAATCTCTGGGATATATGTGCTCATTAGGAATGAAAGGGCTAAATCAAACCTTTTATATACTTGTTAGCTTGACAGTTACACAAGCTGCCCAATAATACAGATGATACTACTAGCAGAAAAATACTGAATAAGTATTCAAGCCAAATTAAAATATTAAATGCAAAGTTATACATGTCTAAAAGACTTTGGTACAGACCTCAATATTATCACAAAGCAGTACCAGATGGCAAAGCCAACTAAGCAATTCAAGATAGTAACAGGAAGTTGTCACAGAGTAAACTGACCAGTGATGGCTGCCAACACTCTCTCTTGAACTCAAGAACTTGGAGCTATAACCAATATGCAACCTAGTGGGTGTTGATGGAAGCAGAAGTGAAAGTAAAGGGAAGAAAATAATATAATAAAAATTAACATAAAACCCTACATGATATTTAAGAATATTTTGATGATCCCATAGCATGTAACAAAATAAATAGCCTTTATATTTCCACAGAAAAGGAGAATAAAACTTAATCTTGGCTTACTTAGCTGTCATAAACGAATTGACACTAATTCTCACTAAAATAATTTTTGCTCCAAAATTTTAATCATTTGCATATCTCCTCAAACATTACATACATGCTGAATATTAGGGCTGCAGCTCAATTTCATATGGTTGCTTTATTTTGGTAATACAGTATATTAAACTCAAGTAACAGAATATGCAGAATACAAATATAATATCGAGCACAGATACAGAACACTCGAAACAATAATATTTACCATGCCCAAAAAAGTCTTAAAAAATTACCAAGTGGTGCATGTGTGAATAGATGATTAAAAAAATGAATGAACTGAATAGATGATAAAAAATCTCTTTTCCCGAAAAAGGACAGAACAAGTAATTAAGGCTTTTTTTTTACATTTCTTCAAACAAAATAAATAAATAAATAAAACAATAAACATTGACAGCACAAAATAATAAAGACTATGCAAAAATATACATAACTTACTGAACTCTCAAAATCTGATGATTCTAGTTCACTTAGAATGTCATCGATTTCAGTCTGAAAAATAGTTAAATGCATTGATACATTATCTTTATTCTTCTTTTCACAAGACTTTTAGCACAAATTAAACAGTTTTAATTTTTAAAACGACAGAAAACTCACAAAAAGAAACTTGGAACATTATGCTAGAGAAACTATGCTTACTAACAGCTATAAGTTTTGCATTGTTAAATCTGCAAAAATTAAAAATGTAGAATAGATTTTCTTTTCTGATGAAAGAATATACATCCGAAGCTTAGCTTGTTTCTAAGGTCTTGGTAGTTTCCTTTACTGCCAAGCCAACAAGATAACAGACATATGGCACTACATTTTGTTTTCATTTTCTTTGCCCATTGCTTACAGTATAAAAGGATTATCACTATTACAACCTAAGCACATTTTTTTTTTTTTTTTTTTTCTGTTTAAGGACCTATGTTTAATCACCCTTGAAATCGACAGTTCTATTAAAAAAATCTATGCGAAAGCAAGGTTTTTACCCCCTTTCTTTGTGTATGTGTGTGTGATTTTAAAGGCTAATAAATATCAGTTAGATCTTAACGCAAAATAAGATTCACTCTGATTGAAGCCACACAGCCTCATCAAATGAGTGACCATGAATGCTTACATTTTTGCTTTTCCTCTGAGAGAAGATCTCTATCTTTCCTGTACTCATGCACATACAAATGCATATTGGTATTTTTCATTCCATCTAAACGTTCTTTATTTCTTCCTTATTGTTTGTAGTTTCTCTTGAATTATGGTTACTAGAAGATGGAACTATGAGAGTGAAGAGTGCTTCTGAAATATATGAGTGTAGGAAGCATGTATCACATTGGTTATCTATGATAGTTGTAGCTGAATGTAATGTTTTGTAAAGAGTATGCATTTTGAATAACTTAATATATTGTGGCTGGGATAAAAGTATATTAAAGTTTAAGTCAATTTTTTTTTTTTTTTTTTTGAATACCACCAATAAACAACTCTCTTATGTTTATGGCCGTGCAAGCCTGGAGTCTTTGAGGAAGAAAGATGTTAAAGTCCCAAATAACAAAATGTAAGGATAAATTTAATACAGAAAATGTTGGCTTACATGCATGAGAAGTATGTGGGAAAAGCGTAACTCATTCTCTAATGAACTGAAAGAAATACATGATTAGCTGACTGCTACGTGTAATGAGAAAAAATCTTTGAAATTTTTTTGATGAGCAGTTTAACATTAGAGACAATTTAGATGAAATTACGCTAAAATTAAACAGGAAATCTGAAGCGCAAGAATCAGTATTTGAAATCTGAGATAAAAGCTGAAGGAACTTCTTTAAAAAGCGCTGAGCTCTCAAAATTAAATTTGCGAACATTTAGTGAGAATTTACAAAAGCGAATAGCTTTCAATCAATATTTCAAAGTTTGCATGCATAATAATCCCAGTTTGTCAGACGCTAAAAACTACAATATTTAAAAACCTTCATTAACCTTCCAGCACGTGCGTATGCGCAAAATTTATGACAAATCCAGTTTTTAATGCCCATTTTTTGCATATCAAAGTTGAGACGTCTGAATGTCATTTCTATTCCTCCTTTCTACACTTCCCCACATCATGGAATGTGCCCACAGGAAGTCATTTGACTTTTTTTTTTAACTGGGCATTTGTGCTATGTGGCAGCTTTTTCCGTAAAAGTTAAGACACGTGCGTGTTCGTGGGTGAAAATTCGGAAAATATTTTTTCTCAAATATTTTATAATTTTGTGTTATTATTCGCCGTGTATTATTTTAATTCGAATACATTTGGCTCTGTAAATTTTATATCAGGTTTCATGGCAAAAAAATACGTGCAACCAGCTGATTTTGCTCGCATTCTTCAAGAATTATCTGATGAAGAAAAGGAAGACAAGGAAACCTTTGGATGGGAGAAAAATAGCGATTTCCATTCCTTATTTTCTTTTATTTCTATTTTTTTATAAAATAAATAAAAATATTAAAGCTTGTTTAAAGTGCGTTTTGTAACCATTAAGAAGTAAATTTCCTTGCAGAAGTGAGTAATGCTAAACTTACTTTTTTTCCCACCAAGGTGTCTTCCTTTTTTATTTGTCTATACTTGCCTTTGATGAATATTAAAATTAGCTCCGATTTTAAAATATAATTATTAAATAATAAATTTAAAATGTTCAATAATGAAATACATCATTGCATTTCCATCTCCCTAACATAATAACTTAAAAACAATTTACTTATATTTGAATGCGATATCATTTGTATTTTGCTAATAAGATCAATATTTTATTTCTTACCAAATTTATTATTAATATTCACTCATTTCTGTCGTTTTTTATGCCAAAAACGGTAAAGTAACGGATGTAAAAAAAATACGACACGCGCATACTCATGTAAAATTGCTAAGCGCGCGTGCTAGAAAGTTAAAAAGCGATGTTTAGTGTACTGTGTAATCATTAACAACACCAGATAATAATTATACTACAGCATGAGAGTTGTATTGCTATTCTACTAAGTACAAGTTAATATTCACAAAAGATAGAAGATTCATGACGTTAAACTCAATTTAAAATGAACTGGCTTTTACAATTATGAGTTCAGTTGATACAAGAATGAAGTTATTCATAACTTAGAGTGTATGCAACAAAGATAAATAACTTTAGTGTCGTGTTATTGGTTTATGCAATTTTGCAAAAATTAGATTCAATGAGTTCTAGTGGGAAAGACAGTTGATGGGATGAAACTCCAAGGTTATATGAAATGACCGATTTTTTTTTAAAGAATTATGCAAAGACATCATCAAATAATAAAGTGCCAGCTAGAAAATGTTATAAAAGACAACAAAGTAAATATGTTTCCAGCAAATTCCAAATGTACCTACTATCAAGAGGATTGTTAAATATTTGCATAATCGCCTGTGGTAACGGCAACCGCCGTCAATAAAAGGAGGTGCTTTCCTTAGTGGCACCGCAGTTCATTTTAGTTCGAGCCAGAATAGACCTACCCGGGGAAGAAGCCAGGGGATGAGCGATTCCAGTTCCCGTCTTGTTCCGGATCCAGTCCTGTTCCAGTGCTATTCCAGTTCCAGTCCAAAACACGTAGGAGCTGAAGTCTGAATCCAGCGAATGGAGATATATGCCGAAAGGGCTATATGGATTTTGTCTTTTAAAAGAAAGTGTTCTTCACCGTTCCGGCATAGCTGTTACTTTAAAGCATTATGAATATTTCCACCTAAGATGTTAAGTTTTCGTTTATGATGTTAAGTTTTCATCAATGTTGAAGTTCCAGTTAAATAAACCTTTAAGTTTTAGACAAGGTTTTTGTGTTCTTCAGAAAATTTTAGATTCGAAGTCAGATATATCACATAGGATTTAACGGAAAAATCAACATTTGGCGCCAAGCGACAGGACATTGTCTGCAAGGTAAGCGACTTTTTTATTTTTGAATCATGGAAGCCTTAAAGTTAGCACGAACTCAATATAGAAGATTATTCAGTAAAGCGTGTAATGAATTTGACAATGAAGAAACTAAATTTAATCAGGAAGAAAAATTAATTAAAATAAAAGTTATTGCCGAGAAAGCTAAAGTTTTGTTTGATACTGAAATGAAAATACGAGAATTAATGTTTAAAGAAATTACAGATGAGACTTTACTTATTAAGGAAATAGATGAATCTGAATTATATTTTGATAGGTGGAGACTTCTGGAAAGTAAAGTAAAAGATCTTACTTCTGGAACCCCGAATGTAACTTTAATTGATCCATCCTTTGTTCAGAATAAAATGTTACATTATCCGAAGATTAAATTGCCTATCTTTGACGGCAACGTGAAGAAATGGCTAGGATTTTGGGGGCAATTCCAAAAGATTGATAAAGATCCTACATTAGATAATAATGATAAATTTGCTTATTTGGCACAGGCTATGGAGAAGAATTCTCCCGCAGAGGAAATAGTTAAAAGCTTTCCGCCAACTGGCGATAGTTACAAGAGCGCAATCGAAGCATTGCAAACGCGTTTTGGTAACAAAGAATTACTAACGGAGATTTATATTCGTGATTTGTTAACCCTTGTTATTCAAAAACAAGGTACACACTCTTTGCGGAAACTATACGATGAACTTCGAATCTAATCTAAGAGGCTTGGAGATATTGGGAATAAATAGAGGCAAATATTGCGCGATATTATATCCATTGGTAGAATCAGCATTGCCGAATGAAGTCTTAAAAACGTGGGAGAGACTTAGGTTTTCGCGTAAAGGATCAGAAAGTTTAACCGGCGAAAACGCCGAGTTAAGAGAAAGGGAATCTGACCTTGAGCGCCTTTTATGTTTCTTGCGCGGTGAAGTTGAAAGTGAGGAAAGAATTTCTTTAGCAGCTAAATCTTTCAATGTTTTCGATCGATTGGCTCACGGTAATAAGAAAGGAAATTTGGGTTTAAAGATAAGAGAACCTCACTTAAAACCTACGGCAGCTGAACTGTTTACTTCTTCTCATGAAGCTAGAAAAGGCTGCATATTTTGTTCCAGTATAAATCATGGTTCTGCGGAATGTTTTCAGGCGCGTAACTTATCGTTGTCGGAAAGAGAAGTTTTGGTCCAAAGGACACGCTCTTGTTATCTGTGTCTGAAATCTGGACATTCTGTCAGGAGGTGTAGATTAAAAACAGTTTGTTTTACTTGCGGCAAAAGGCATCATATTTTTCTATGTAAGGGCCATTCACAAATGAGTGAGACAAGGGCAACGGAACAGCCTCCAAATCAGGCTGAAACACTCGCCAACATTTCTTCAAGGTCTCCTAAAGTTTTGCTGCAAACAATAAGAGTAATAATTAAAGGAGATAAAAAATCTCGTTCGGCTCGAGCTATAATTGATACTGGTTCTCAAAGGTCATATATTCTGCAAAGCGCAGCTCAAGATATGGGTTATAGGTATACGGTAAAGGAATACCTTAGCCACGCATTATTTGGCGGTACAACGACCAGTTTGTGTGAACATAAAGTTTACAAAATTCATTTATCTAATACGTCTGGC